GTCTTGTTCACTGCGAATGATGGTCAAGAGGGATGAGTTGGCCGTGCCAGCCCGTTTTTTCTTTGTTTTCATTCGCAACGTGACAGCCTCAAGTCATTTCGTCAGCATCAGTCGTTTTTCACCAGTTGTTGTGGTTCATCAGCTTCAGTAATTGGTGGAGAACGGGATGGCGGCACGCCAAATCCGGGCTCACTGACATGCCCCATCATCTACAGTAAACAAGCAACAATGCGATATCGGGGATATGAAAGATGTGATTGCGCCCACACAGGAGATACACCACCGGCTGCAAGATGTCACTTCCAAGTTAGGGTGAGTGGGCGAAGGAGACATTGCAGGCGAGCATTGCAGGGTAAGCGGCGTTCGCACCAGAACCTATTAGATGCGATGTGGGAGTGCTGCAAAGCGCCAAAGTAACGTCCGTTTTTAGGACACACCTTCTTACAGACAGAGGCGCCGGGGCTTATGAGGTCACGATAAATCCGAATGGAAGCCCAAACATTGACATCCGGATGGCCAGACGACGTAAATGCCAGTGTTTCACACTCCCGGACAAACCTTGTGCCGGAGCGGCTCCCGATCAGGTCAAGACAAAGTGGCGACCTGATCTGGAGCTGCTCCAGCATTTCCCATACTCATAGCGCCGCGTGGGCGGACCGCTTGCTACTCTACGTTCTCTTCGATTACCTTGTTTTCTGTGGTATGAAAGTACCTCGAAAATCCTTCGAGATACCTAATGATCGCATCTGTCGTCTACAGTGGTATCCTGCTATTTCGGCACGAATCTCCTTCATGCCCACTCAACCTCGTACGTCAAACGGTCGAGTGTCATGACATGTCTTGATATAGCGTACCGCGATTTTTCCAGTAAATTAATCAGTAATTTCACAGACTTCTATTTTACTACTTCTATTTTATTACCCCAATAGTATGTATTACTTTGCTATTTCAGGTTACATCCACGCAACAAAAGATGGGGATGGGGTTGGGGATGGAATAGACCGTGGATGTACGGATATCCATATGGAATTATGGGCTACCCATACGGAGGACTCGGTTATCCATACGGCGGTCTCGGTTATCCATACGGGCTCGGGGGATATCCATACGGCATGATGGGTTATCCTTACGGTGGCTTGGGTTTGCTTTACGGATGATCTTCGCTTGTCTCAACGCTCCTCTACAACTGCATATACTGTCCATAGTGACTGAGCTCACTAAAAGTAAGACTTTTGAATAGTTGTTGTGATGAAAGTAATAACGTTACTGCATTTGTAGTTGCTACCTATGTTT